CCCCCGCGCCGCAGCCGAACCCCGACTTACTGCGTGCTAGACTGCACTGGCTCCTCGGGGAGAGGCGCGCCGGCCGGGGGCTCAGTCGGCCACTCCGCCGCGGACCCGCCTGCGCCCCCCGCCGCGATCAGGAGGCTCGAGCAGAGCCAGGGAGGCTGCGCGTCGGTCCCCTCGCGCCCCGCGGCCTCGCTGCCCGCCGGCCGTAATCAGAAGGCGAAGCTGCTGTATGGCCCGGCTTTCACGGCGCCGCCGGCGTGAGATCAGGCAGGCGGAGGAAAAGCTGCCTGCTCTCCGGATTCTGCAGGCCGCAAGTCCGTGTGCTCCGCCCTTCGGGGCTCTCGGGTGGGTCATCCGCACTCCGCACTCAGCCCCCGAGCTGGGGGGCAGCCGCTCGCCTCCGGCCGGAGGCAGCGGCAAATCCAGGACCAGGCGGCATTCCCGAGGCCCGCGCGGCAGCTAATCCCCGCACAAAGAGCTTGAAAACAACACGCAAGTTGTGGCCAATTCCAGAAAGATTTCCCAGGGCGATGACTAAAGGTTCTCGTGCGCAGCCCTTCCCCGCCCCCCCCCCCCCGCAAGGGCCAATCGCAGCACAGGGGGGCCCGAAAAAGGGGGTTGGACCGGCTGGCAGGTCTCCTCCAGAAAATGAGTCCTCTTCCCCGCAAACATAAATGCCAACTGTCCCCTCGGGGATGTCACCGGCTTGGCGGGGCTGGGCTGGGAAGGACCGGCCTCCATGCCCAGGCAGTTCCGCGTTGGAAGCGCCTCGAATCCCGAAAGTGAGGGAGGGAAACAATCTCTGCGTTTACTTTAAGGCGATTCCGACAAACAGGCGACAGTGACACCACCTGCGCTGGAAGGGACGAGGGTGACAGCGTCGTGGGGACTTATTTTTTTACTCTGCACAATAAATGGGGAGAGGGAGTCTTGCTCCCTCTTTTCCTCTCTTCTTTCCTTCTAGAATCCTGTGTGAGCGCCTCGGATGTGCCACACTGAGATTAGAAAACTGGAGCAAGCAGAAGCCGCTACTCCCCAGTGCGTCTGCAGACTGGTGTGGGTGAGCTGATACACTGACCAGCAGTCAGTGCATCATCGAGTTGCTGTGAATGCCAAGGGTTAAGGGAGAATGCAGGGTTTCCGACCATGCTGGAAACCAAGGAGGGCTTCCTGCGGAAGCTTGATGCCTGAGTAGGCATCTGGTGGAATACCGGGAAGATGGGAACTCCTGGTCTGCAGGAAGCAGGGCAGAGGGGCAAAGGTGAGAGAGACAGGTGATCCAGGGTGGGAAGGGGTTACCAGGTGCTTAAAAAGTTGGTGAGCAAAGCTGGGAATCACCCATTCCTTTGGCAGCGTGACAGTCATTGAAACGAAGAGGCTAGTGGCCTGTGGAGACCCCACATGCTATGGCTTTACAGCCACCATCCAGGCAAATCCACCAGGGGAAATGTGGTGTAGGAAACTTGTTTGAGCCTTGCCGTTTTTAAGGGGAGCAAAAATCTCAAAATATGTCTTTTTTTTTTAAAGTTTGATTGCCTAGGAGGGTTGGAGGGAGAAAGTTTGTGTAGAAGATATTTGCCTGCAAACTTTTCTCTGTAAGGGCCTTTCCCAGAAAGACCTACTCTCTTTATCTTTTCCAGGTAGAAGGCAGCACTTAAAGTTATATACTTTTGCTCACAGTGTCCTTCTTGGTAAACTCCCCCTAATTGAACTTCGCCTTTTTTCTCCCTGTTTTAGCTAAGCTGTTTAAGCTGGCATGGGAAACAATATCCCTGACAAACGTCTGTGCAAAAATTTTGAACAAAATACTAGCAAGCCAAATTCAACTTATATACCAGAATCAAGTGAGATTCATTCCAGGAAAGCAAGGATGGTTTAATAATGCATACACCAGTTAATGTAAAATATCAAGACAAGGAAAGAAAAAATCATCTGACAATATCAACAGATGTAAAGAAAGAATCTGATAAGGTTCACACCCATTAATGATAAAAATCCTGAATAAGCTGGGTACAGAGGGAATCTACCTCAATATAATAAAGATGAATTATCACAAACCAATGGCCAATATAATATTCGATGGTAAAAAAAATGAAAGTTTTTTTTCTATAAGATCTGGATGGAAACAAGATGCACACTGCTGTCACTTTTATTTAACTCAATTTTAGAGGTTTTGGTCAGAGCTATCAGACAAACACAGAAAATAAAGAAAACCCAAGTAGGTAAAGAAGAAAAGAAACTGCCACTATTTGCCAACTACATGATATTAAATATAGAAGATCCAAAAGATTCCTTCAAAATGTTATTAGAAACAATAAATGAATATAGCAAAGTGGCATGTTACAAAATCAAAATACAAAATCCATATACAATCTATATACAAGTAACAGACAAAGAAGCAAGAGAAATGAAGGCGATGACTTGATTTACAATTATTTCAAAAAGAATTAAACACCAAAGAATCAACCTAACAAAGGAGGTAAAAGACCTACAAGACATTATTAAAGAACTTAGATGGCAAAACAAGGAGAAAAATATCCCATGAATCAATATAATCAACATGACAACTCTGCCTAACATGACATAAGATTTAACGCAATCCCCACCAAAATGCCAGTAATACTTTTCAAAGAATCTAAACAAAAAGCTTGAAATTTGTATGGAAACACAGAAGGCCTTGACGTGTGCCAGCTTTTGCATGGACAGATGTTTTCTTTTCTCTGGGGTGTTTATCTGAGGGTAGAACTGCTCTTAAGTTGCCACAGCAATGTGGGACTTTATGAATGAAGTCAGTTTCTCATCCAATCTTTGCATTTTTCTTAGTAACAAAGACAAAGTTTTGCAAATTTGGAGGATAATAATTGCACAGTAAGCTGAACTGAATTTTGTGCCTGATTTCCTTCATTTTAATTTTTTATTTGGAAATACATTTATGTAGTCTTTGATTTTAAACTTCTCTCTGAACATTTTGGGGATTAAGGCTTGAAACTGGACTGCAGGGCACATCTATGGTATTTGATTTATGGCAGAAAGAGCGGAATTTGGGGTGTAGGAGGGCAATCTCTAGTGCCTTGTGAAATAGTGAAAGAAGGTAAAATTTCATGCAGGAAGTTCTTAGGAACCAGAGAGGAACTGAAGAATATATCTGGGTACCCCAAATCTCAGGTGAATATATTTTCTAGCATATTTTTGTGGTGACTTAGGTTTCATGGTTGCTGTTCCCCAATGCTTTGGGTTTATTTGCCTTTTTTTAAAGATTCACTTATTTATTCAAACAGAACTGGGGTACAGGCCAGAGGTGGAGGGATGGTAGGAGGATTCACCAGAGATAGAGTGGGGAGCACAACAGGCAGATCTAGGAAGTACACTGCTGAGGGGTGCAGCGGGAGGGTCAGGAGAGGTCTTGCCACGCCATGTGGGTCATCTCCGGGGCTGGCGGGGATCGAACTTGAATGGCTGCTGCTGGCTTGCAGTGCTGCATTTTAACCTGTTGCGCCACCAGGGAGGGCCGCTTTGGGTCTATTTGATCTTTGCTGACAGTGTTTAAATCCTACAACCTCCTTCCTGTCCTGAATAGCGACCTTAAACATCTTCGATTAGGAACAGGCTGAAAGAAGCTTGTTTGAAATAGTTGGAAAGAGCATGTGTTCAATCAGCCACGCACTCCAGCAACGCTGAGCACAGGGTCACCCCAGGCACTGCTCGGGGCTCCCAGAGTAACCCGACTGCTCCCCGCCATCAGGAGCCGGTGATTCATCAGGGGTCCAGACAAGCCCAGGGACCTATAATTCAACCTGGTATAAACGCCCAATAAATGAGATAAGAAATTGTTTTGAGGGCTTTAGGGAAGGAGAAATCTCTCTCTTTTCATGTAGTAGGAAAGGCGTTCTGGCCCAGGCAGGGAAGCAGGGCGGAGCTTCTCCTGGGAGAGGAGGGTCTCTCCCCGTGGCCCTTCTCCTGCAGCGCCACAACCCCCCCCCAACACCCCACCACCGTCAGCATCACACAAGCGCGGCTGCGACTTAACACTCAATTTAATAAGGCTAATAAGAGCCATTGTAAAGTCCTGATCACTTCCTATTATAGTAGCCAGGAGAGACTTTATGATAGTGTGCTTGGGCATTTAAAAAAGGTATGCTAGGGCCCTCCCTGGTGGCGCAGCGGGTTAAAGCACTGCACTAAGAATCTAAGGCCACTTCAGCATGAGTTTGATCCCCTTCCGCCCACCCCGGAGGTGACCACATGGCTGGGCAGACCTCTCCTGACCTGCTCCCCTCAGCAGTGTCCTTCGTCTATCTGCCTGTTCTGTTCCCCACTCTGTCTCTGGTGAATCCTCTCACCGCCCCTGCACTTCTGGCCTGTACCCCAGGCCTGTATGAATAAATAAATACATCTTAAAAAAAAAAAAAAGGTATGCAAAATGATGTAAAAATAAACTTTTTAATAAAAAAAAAGACCTAAAATTAAAAAAAAAAAAAAGGTATGCTAAGCTTCATGTTTCAGATGAAATGGAACTAAATGTATTAGAAAACCTGGAAAACCCAGCAAATCATAAAGAACGAAAAGAAATAATCTGTAAACCTACTACCTGTAGATAAATATATTGCCAGACATGTTTAAATATTTGCAACATGAATAAATGACATTACCATATATTGTCTATTTTTTTCTTCATATGTATTTCTATTATATATGAAATTTGGGAAACTACTTTTTCTTTAAGATTTACTTATGCATGCAGAACTGGGGTACCGGCCAGAAGTGCAGGGGCAGTGAGAGAATTCATCAGAGACATAGTAGGCAGTAGAGCAGGAAGATGGAGGAAGTACACTGCAGAGGGGAGTAGGCAGGTCAGGAGAGGTCTGCCGCGCCATGTGGGTCACCTCTGGGGCCGGGGATCTAATTAAGCAGCTGTGGGCCACTTTGCAGTGCTGCACTTTAACCTGTTGTGCCACCAGGGAGGGCTCTGGGACCTGCTTTTAAAAAGCATGTCATATCACTTTTATATGAGTGAAATTATTTGAAAATTCATTTTAGAACAGCTGAGGGTTATTTCCTGTATTTTTTGTAAATTTGCAATTATTAAAATTAACCTTCAATGAAATGGGTAAACACAAATCTCTGTCTACATTTCTATGTTCTAGCCAGAGATTGCTGTGAGTGGAATTAGACAAGGAAAATTCTGTCTGTAATTGCATTACGGAGAGGATGGCAAGACTATAGATAGAAATGAAGTCAAATCAGTCCTAACAAAGGAATGTTGATAAGTCAATCGAAGGACTCAAAGAATCTCATGGTGAGACCATCTGGAGGCAGAAACTACAAGAATTGGGAAATATGCTTCATCCTGTCTAGTCACAGAAGACACAGATTCCCTCTTATTCTGCATCCTTTTAAATAATTTTGTTATGTATCCAGATCCTTAAGGCAGAGGAAGGAGAACTGAGGAAAGTGATACCTGGAGCCCAGGGACTAAGAAATGGAATGGGGATAAACAATTAA